AAAAAGTGTATAGAGTGAAAATAATACAGTAATGAATTATGTGTGAAGACTGAGCGCCATTTAGTTTGTGGAACGTCCATTTGAATGTCGCACTCACCTCTGGTTCATATACTAGAGAAATCTCACTTTGAAAATTAACATCAGAGAGAGTTTGGTCCACAATTCTATTTTGTTGTTTTTGAAGAAGCGCATGGCTTTTTTATGTATATTTGTTTCGGTGATAACATGATTCTTCAAAAAGAAATGCTGATATTTTGGAATGGATTACAAATTAGAAACAAAATCGCAAGTTTTGCATATCCTAGTCTTTATCATCCACTTATCTTGCTCTCTTTATGTCTACTGTCCTTCACCACCTGCATGCTATGCATCTTTCTTCAACCACTTCACTCTCATGGATGACCCAGCACAGTATTGACACTAAAGCGCCTCCAACATCGACTTCTTAATTGCTGGTCTCTATGACCAGGACAATCTTTGTGAACCGAGTAGAGCTTTCATTGATTGGGGTATAATGATACTTCGGTTCCCCGATCATCGGGACTGGCAACACATCCAAGGATTTGGTCTTTGTATGCCACGGTGTGACCAATCATTTTAGAGCAACTTCCAAAAATATGTATTTCTCCTGCTCTTCTGTGTGCCAGCACATCATAGTACAATTTAAGCGATTTCCAAATTCTGAAAAGTTCTACTTGTTGTTTTGAAATGCTCTGTAACATAAGAATTGTACTGGAAGTATAAGTGTCTCAACTTTGTACTAACTTCAGTACAAAGACTTTGTACTTAACTTTTGTAAAGTTTAGTACAACTTTGTACTAACTTTAAGTTTTTGTGCCCTCTTTGGCTCATCCTCAGCCCACACCGCACTTCACCTTGCACCTTGTTCCGCGTCTGTCGTCTGCAGCTTGCTACTGGCACCTTTCAAGATCACAGCAATTTTGTGTTGATCATGTACTGAGGGATCTCATGTGGAGCAACAGTCTGGTAGGATTTCAATGGGTTGAACAAAATACCCACCATTATAAGATTAAAAGAAACGCTGTATGAGACTATGAAAAGATATAGTGGCTGTGGTCTGTTTAGGCATAGTTACGAAGATCTAGTGGCTGTGATATGTTGGGTATAGTTATGAAGATCTAGAGGCTTTGATTCCTTAATAAAGAAGAGGACCCACTGTCTGAAGGACAGTTTTTTTGTGTGATAATTTTAGTGATTTCTCTCCTTTTTTATCCATTTTGTGTTTTTAGTATATAGCCGAAATATATAGATAAAGCAGAAACTTCAGGTCAGACAACACGAAATCAGTATCATCAATATAGTAGAGGAGAAATACTAATGATGAATAAATTTTGTGCATTATATGGCCTGCAAATTGGAGTTTTTAGTAATGCATGTATATGTAGGCGTTAACTGCTTTGTTTTGCTGTATTTGCTAACCTTTGTTGTCATTTTGAGATGCGTTTGTTTGTACCTGTATGTGCTTTTGGATCCTAAAAGAATATATTCTTTGACCTAACCTCAAATGCTTGTGACAGTTGACTGTTCACCATATCATCATTTACATGCTAATCAACCAACTCTATTGTCTTTCAAATGGTTTGAAATATTGTTGAGTACTCGGGCTGATGTAGTTTGTGTTGAAAATTGACCTATGACTGCAGACTTTTGCTGTTTATTGAAATTTTTAGATATATATGGCACGTAATGTTTACCTTGACACTAAAAGATGACTACACTAACCAAGGTAAAACTGGTCGAGCTACTAAATCGAGTAAAATCCTGAATGCTTTGCAAGGATTTTTATGATTTGTATAGAACTCTTGTTACTTGGCAGTTTTAATCTGAAAGCACAGGTTAAGGAGTTCTCTAGTGCATTCTGTGGTACTCTGTAACGGTCCAAAATGATCTCTGTAAATATACAGTCTCTTGCGATGCTAGAACATTTATGTATCCGTAAGAATACTGGCTCTTCAAATGTTTCATAAATTGCTAAAATATTTGTACTCACAATTCAAGCTCGCTTTTCTTTTGTGTAACAGGTTTTTCTGTGAACCGGACATACCATTGGTTCTTCGTGGAAGAACAGTGGATCCTTCTGAGCATACAGAAGAATTGACCACTATGTTGAAAATCAACACCCAAGTCCTCTGTTTGATGAAACACCAGTTATGTGAGCAGAGTCGATCATTTGAGGAGTTAAAAATAGGATACTTTGTGCAGTTTGCAAAGTGCCCTATCAAGGAGCTCTTGGAGATTGCAGTCTGTCTTAGCGAGGCAGTGTGGCCTCCCACCCGTATTCCTCCAATGCTGCTTGCCTGTGAGGCACTTAAGGATGTCCTTCCTCTTATAGAAAAGCTTCCTTCCAGTGAATCTGGTGACTGCCTTTCCAATATTTCGCACAACATGAGAGAGGCTTTCAGGAGATTAATGGACCATACCAAGCACCACATAGAATCCAATATGAAAAAGCATCAGGATGACATTATTCATCCAATGACATGTTTCCTCATATGCTCAGTGAGATCCTTCCGCAGTCACAGAAATTTAGTGCAATCCACTCTTGCCCCTGGTGATGACTGCAACTCATTTGGCCATCTTCTGCATGACGTGATTACCTGCTGGAAATCTGGGCTCACTGAGTATGCAAACATATATCATGCAGATGTGCAGCAGCGATGCATTTTCCTATTGAACAACAGAGACCATTTTAATAGGAAGACAGATGGCCTGTTGAATGAGTTGCTATCCGATTGGCAGATTGTTGAGCAGTATGATAATGAGTTCAAGTTACTCTTGATTAAGAGATATACAGATGAGGCCTGCGCTCCGGCCAAGTCTTGTTTAAATCGCAGCTCCTGCTGGTGGTGGGGCAGTCAGCGTCCATCCTTAGACGCGTTTACTTCGAAATTCAACGAGACTTTTGATCTTCAGAGAACTTGGAAGGTTCCCGATGTTGCCCTACGGCAGGATCTGAGAGATAGCATAGAGGAGTGCATCCTGTCAGACTACACAAGGTGTCTCGAGAACTGTTCAAGTTCGGGGCTGTTTTGTTCATGCTTGCAGATAGATTCAGTAGGGGAGATATATACCACAGAGAGCTTGCAAACAACGGTGCAGACCTTATTTGAAGGATGCTGACGTCCTAGGTCCCCCCCACCCCCCTTTGGAGGGTGCTGACGTCACACACAAACACACTGTCTCCCCTTCGCTGCGAGGAACGAGGAAGTAGTTCATTTTCTCCTTGTTGTAACAATTGTGCATAGTTGTGATTGTATAGTTGAGATTACCAGAAGAACAATACGTATAGCAGCATTTTTTGGCACCACACTCCATAGTTGTGACTGTATCTACTGTACTTCTACCCGCTCTGTGAAGAAGATGGAGGAAGAAACTTGGCATGGAGTTGAAGGTAGCTTTCATTATGTTAAATGATTACTTTCATCATATGCTGGTTCTGTTCGCTACCTTCTTGGTAGGTAACTATCCCCAAAATTAAGGTTTTCTTTTTCCATTTCATGTCTGTGCATGAATGGCATCGTGTTTTTCATGGCCAGTGATTCCCAGGCACCGTTACCGCCACACTAAGGCCTGAGCTCTGATACCTGATTATATGTGCACTGCTTCACACATGACACTTCCCATACGAAATACAGACGACATGTCATATCCTACCGTCCAAGACCAAGGCTAAACAGCTCCAGCCGGTTCGATTGGGCATCGTTCCAGTATCGTTCACCAAAGCATCGTGTGCGAAGTACTTTTGCGATTATATTGTTGAGATGTGATCCCATATTATCGCCGGGGAGGAGACACCTGCACCTCACCTTTCGGGATTCACAGTCGGAGAGGACATTTTTGCTATGTTAGAGCAACTCCAATAGCTCCTGTAAAATCTTCCTTGTAAAAGCCGTTTTGTGGGATGTCTGTTCTGTCACTGCTGGAGGCAGGGGATGGCAGCAGGGCTCAGGCCAACATGCAGATTTTTTCATTGCATCAGTGATTACCTGCTGCTGATATTGTGTATTACAGTGATTTGGTTGGCTTTGGCTCTTCCCAACATGC